AGGGAATACAGGTAGAGGGGAAAAAAAGTCAAGTTGACAGAATGTGGTCAGAAGAATAGGAATAGTGGTGACAATTTTTAGAAGAGTTTAGAATGTTATGTGGTGTGCTTTTTCAAATATGTAGTAAACATATTTGTTTCACAGTGTTCTTTAGTTATTATAAGCCTATATTTGGACTTGGTATTCTGCATTCCCGTTTTTCTTTGGTTTAGAAAAAAAAGGGCAAGAAAAGAGCAAGATGAGCAAGAATCTTATTAAAGAGAGAGGAAAAAGTAATTCTGAATATATATGGAATTTAGCCATAACTTATTTGAAATGTTAGTAACCAAAGTAAATGTTTACTATTATACATATCTTTTATTTGTAGTAATTTTGTAGGATTACATCAGTATTCTTGCATCTGAGAAAGTGAGTTGCTGGTGATGGGAATATTCTCTACACTGTTACACACTTAGTAACTGTGGATTAATTTAAAATTAAAAAAAAATTTTTTTTTTTCCAATATGGAACACATCTAGAGCAAATACCAACTGAAAATGATCAGCTTACGTATTTGAAGCAACTATGAAGCATTGGTCCTTCAGATAATGGAGATAATTGTTTCATCTCAGCTTTTCAAATTCAGTCTGTTTTGAATGCTGTGTATGTGACTTTTCAAGCAGCAAAGTGTAGTACATTTAGATGGGAGAGAAACAGTGATGGGGCTGTTTTGGAAACTAAATTTGATAGAGTAGATATGCTTTTCTGTACAGGAAGGTCTCCCAGTTTTTATAATCTGACACTTCACAAGCAAGGGCTCTGTCCACACTGCCCAAGTTACAGAAGGCAAAGGCAGGGACTGGCAGAAGTGAGGTCTGTCCACTGTAGGTGAAGTTCAGGTTCGAGACTATCTGAAGAACCTGGAGTTGTGTGAGTCCATGGGACCTGGCAAGATCCATCCCCAGGTCCTGAGGGAGCTGGCGGATGAAGCTCCTGACCTGCTTCCCGTCATATCTGAAAAGTTCTGGCATTCTGGTGAAACTTTCAAAATGGGGATGTACCTGGTTTTATGGCCTTTTCAGTTTACTGTTACAGAAATTGCACGTTCTTTTTGTTGCAGAGATTGTAGTAGGGCTTAAAGGCAGTAAATACAAGTAGGTTGGTTCGCAGCCTGTGCCTACAGCTGTCCTGTTAAGGCTTAAATATAAATGCGTACAAAGTAGAGAGTGATTAAATGCAGTTTTAGGGGTGGAATTCAGAAAAGTGTTGATACTGCAACATGGATTGAATGGAGCCTGCAGGACGCCTATAATGGTGTACCAGCAGGCATACTTTGAATGGTATATGGTCAGAGTAATGATAAATCTGTTGCTTATTATCTGTAGAGTAAAACCATGCTAGTGTTTGCTATTGCCAAGACAACTATATGTTCACATCTTAGTTCTCTTTATGTTCATACTGTTGCCCTTCTCCAAAACTACAACTTATAAAGAGAAACCCAAAACAAGAAACCAAATTAAGAGTCTTAAGTGTGGTTTTGCTCTTTCCTGCTTTTGTAACATACATTTTTTTCAGTACAGACTCAAAAGTTAGAGTTTTGCTTCTATGTAGCTTCTATGATAAAATCAAAAAGCAAAATCAGCAAGCTGATTTTGTTCCTCAGATATAAAAGTATAAGTCCTTTCTAGAATTTTAGTGGGAATTAAATGTTTTTGTTCTGGGAAGCCCCTATTTAAAGATCTGAGCAAATCAGACTTTCCTATTTTCATGTGATTGAAACAAAGCATAAACTTGTTTATAACACTGTATTCTGAGCACTTACCTTTTGAAATTAAAAGTAGAGTGAAATTAACTAGGAATTCTTTCCTATTTCACTTAACTAAGATACTTCCAAAGTACAGTAAAATATAACAAGGAATAGAATTTGATAGTGTATTTTATTTTAAATTACTGGCAAAATAAGTTATCTTGGGGAACAAACAAGCCAACCTCTTTAAATATTACTAAAAGTGATTTCATGGTGGGTTACAAAGATTCAAGAAAGCCACTGTGGATTTACATCTCTTGAAAGAATGAGTTCATATTATAGATGCTAAGAAAAGGGTCCCCTTGTGTTTTACTTTTTTTATTACATCTGTATCTCTGTGAATGCCTTAAACAGTTCAGTGACTCATTTCCTCTTGTCAATGCTTGAGCAAATTGTATGTTCTTGTGGGGTATTTGCTTTGAAATACCTGTGCGTTCTGGTTGTCACCATTTACTGACATTTATGCTTATGTTTACCTTTCTGTTCTCCCTTTTTGTGGAAGGGATATATGTGCCACATCATCCTAACTTTGGCTGGTGGGTTTCCCCTCCCCCCCATTTTGCTTTCTTTTTATGCCTTGCATAAATTGTGTCTTCCAGTACTTTAGTTTTCATTGATATGAATTTTTCGGTTGTATTGTGGTTTTATTTATAATATTTATGATTTTCTTTTCATAACCCTATTAGAACTCACCTGCACTAAGGACTTTTCTTGGCATATAGGCTGAGGTAGCTGCATGCAATGTTAGAGACTACTGTTCAATGTTTTTAAAAAAAACTTAGCTTTTCCATGGTTACGTTCTTAACAAACTGTTTTTAAAAAGTATGGAAAAGTACCCATACTCACAGATGGTAGCGAGTATCCATATGTGCTCCTGTCTGACTGAACCATAACAGGAAGTTTTCATATTCTCCTCCCTGCTCCCGCCTCCACACGCTGCTTGTTGTGTGTAGTGGCATGATTTCCCTAAGAGAAACCTTTTTAAAATGTAAGTATCATTTTTACTTGTTCAAACTGGATTGGGTTTTGCCAGGCATCTGTGAAGATAAGGGAATAGACTTGGCATGTGTCACAATCTTAGATGAAAAATGTAATTTTCCCATCATTTTCACTACAATTTTTTTTTCCCTCTCGTCATCTGCAGAACAAATGCTCCTATTAAAATTTAAGAACCTAGTGACTCATGAGATTAAGCAACTAAAGTAAGTTTTCCCCTGGATAGTAAATGAAGGTTTTTCCTCTTGATATCTGAAGTGCAGCACTAGTACTCTCCTAGAGGGAAGAAAAATAAAATTTTTGCCAAAAATGTTGATACAGAAATTTCTAAGGACTAGAATTTCACAGAGGCTGAATTTCTATGCAGTCAGTGATTTTGGTGCTCATCCCTGATGATGAACATTACCAACATGGAATGTATGTGTTTAGTTTATAATTGTGTTGTATCTGAGTAAGGATTTTGAAAATTACAACTTTTAAACTTATTTCCTATCAAAAACAATTGTGTTTTTAGAGGCTTAGTTTTATTAAATTTATAAAAACAAATTACTTGTGCTTCTGCAGAATGATTAGAATGCTGTACCCTAGCAACACCTCTGCATGAAGTTTCCTCTTGCTCGGTTTTCTAATGGGATTTGTGTGGTAGTGGCTTTGACAGCCTATATTGTCTTGTACCAGTTTTACTAAACTCCTTTTTGGAGTTCTGCTCCTTTTTGGAAGAAGTTATAAATCTAGGCTTTTGTTGTTTTTGTCTCAGTTGTGTTACTTCATGCATTTGGGTAAGATAAGTCATTCTTTCCATTGTTTGACAGTGTCATTTAGAAGACAAAGTTTAAGTTAGCTCCTGAAAAAAGCAACTGTTCCTTTTTAAGTGTAAATAATTGTTTTCAACAAATTTGCCTTTACATGTATGTTACTAACATCATAAATACTGTGGTCTCAAAATCTGTTACTTTTTCATCCTTAGAAACTTGAGTTTTGTTACATAAATCTGGAATTATAATAGTTGATCATCTTTCCTTGAAGTACATTCATTTTAAAGCATGCGTTCTCTTACTACCTAACACTCTTCTGTGGATCTGTCACTTGTAGTTTCATTTTAGATTTCAGGAGAGTGGAAAACAAGACGGTATCTAGTAAATATGTATCACATTATATAAATTGTGCTTGTTTTAAAATACTGACCATAGCTGAAGGACTGTAACAGTTTGCATGTACACGAATGTACGTTTAGAAGTTAAATTGCATTTATAGTTGCAGCTGTATTCCATGTTCATGACTGGCTTGGAAGCCTAAATGCACTGGCTGATTTTAAGTATGTTATAAGCAGGTCCTATTAAAGACTGCCTGTCTTGCTTTTCCAGTGCATTTCAACACTGTCTTAAAGCATGTAGATATTCATAGTGCCATACAGCACAACACAGAAATGAAAAGCAAAAGTAACATTACATAATTGGTAACTTTAGAGATGTACCGTGATACATTTAAATAACTGCATAGCATTGTGTTTCTGTCTGTGGTGCTTTTCCTGTCTTCTTTTCTTGTCCTGATCTTCATTGCTGCTGGTTCTTGTATCTTAGCTTAGATTGTAAGTCTTGAGCAGATGAAATGCCTATTGATTTGTTTCATGTGGTTATGAGTGTATTTCTGAGAGCTCAAAATATAAGTAATCATTCCAGTAGTGATTTGGGTATAGGGAGGACAAGAGAATCTTTTTGAAGCAGAACTGTGTGAAGGATTGTAATCCTGATGTCCACAATTTCGTTTTCTGTATGTTGAGTGGACAGAATTATTTTTAGGTCCTTAATTTTAATATGATCCTAGAGCAAATGTTTGGGTGCTTGAAGTGTCACTGTTGCTCAAGCATCGATACATTGGAGAAGGGTAGGAGGATGAGTGTCAAACAGCATCATCTGTAGATTCTAACATCAGACGTCTTTGTCTTGCTGCTTAGACCTCATGATTATTGGAATTTTACCAGGAGAATCTTTTAACATAAGACTCTGATTTTTTATATTTTATTTTATTTTTATTTAATGGATGGAAAAGCCTGGTATTTTGCTTTGAAATTCTAAAAGAATTTATGGGTTTTGCAGTCTTTTAGCAACTTTACCTGTAGATCATAGAGCTTTTGTTCATCAGCTGTCCAAGGTAAAATACAACACATAATAGCATATTTCTCATTTTAATGTAAACAACAATCTCTAATAGATTTCACATTGTTGACCAAGCTAGTGTCTGCTATGCTGCAAAAACAAATATTCTCTAGGATTAATAAAGTGCTTGTTTTTTTGCTGAATATTTTATCAATGTGCCTTTTGTAAAAAGACTGAAATAGATGTAACACGCAAACAGATAGGAAACCATTTCATATGAAGTCACAAGAAAAACATTAACCGTTTCTACTGCCATCTGCAATAAAATTTCTGTAGTTAGTATTTTCACGTATCTGACTGTTGATATAGATGGTATGAAAAATGTTATTATACTCCAGATGATTTTGCAGAAGATTGCAAAGGCTGCTTTTTGTGTTTTCTGATACAAGGACAAAGTCTAAAAGTTAGAAATTGCATGCAGCACGAATTGTGTGTAACTGTAGGTTGTAACACTTCAGAAAAACAGTAAAATTAAGTGACACTGTTAACCTGATTTCATGATTAACCTTAGTATGTCGTTTGGTATGTGTATCCTTGCTGTCTAAATGTAAACTGTAATTGTCCAGGGACCATTTCCAGTAATCAATGCATTCTGATGGTAGAACAGAAATAGTGTTCTGAATAATTTCTCACAGTATTTTCTCAGACATGTTCATGCCAAAGTGCTTTGTCTCTTTGTTTTCAGAGTTGCAATAGTTTCCAAGTCTTTTGAAGGAAAAACTGATCGAACGGAAGAGTGGTATGGAACACAGTACACACAAGAAGCAATTTCTGATGATGTTATTAAGGCATGTTAAAAATTCTAATGTGTTCTAATGCCTGAGGTGATAAATTCTTTGTCTAATCTTCCATTTGGTTCAAGGGACAACTTAAATCTGTTGCTCTGCATAGCATGAAAATTGTCAGTGAATCTGTTTTAATATTATGAGAAGCAGAGATCTTGTATTAGCCTTTAGATTTCAAGTACTTATTCCATAGGACAAATAAATTGTATTGGTTTTAAGCCATGCTAAATACTGGGAATGTTATACTATTTTTACACCAAAACGTAATATTCGTGTTATGTAGTGGTTCCTTAAGAATGTAAGCATTAACTTTTTAAAACTTAAAAAAGTCTCTATTAAATTTTGAAGAACTGATCTGTTCTTAAGGGAATCTTTTTACAACTGCTATGTGTAACTGTTTCTGAAATTTATTTTTGCAACTTAGGAAATTAGTATATTTTGCCAATTAAATGAGCTTCTAAAAATCAAAACTCCAACAAAGAAGGTGGACAAATCCTTACTGAAAATTGTTTTTGATCTATTCTTTTAGAAAGAGGTGGCTGTGAAATATACCCTAGAGCTAAATTTGACCTGCCAAGCATGCTTTGAACAGGCACTGGATAGGAACACTTCCTTTAGCTTGTCCATACCTGTGTTCTTGATTAGAATTCTTGCTTATGTATTTAGTTTAATACCTTTATTTAGAGTTCATAGTAGCAGAAAAGATGAGATGTGCTCCTACTCTACTGTAAACTTTTCAAAGTTATTTTTTATCTTTTGTCTTCCTCTTCAGAGAACTTCATTCTGCTTATAGCCTTCTCCAACTTGGTTTCCCAGATACTTTTTTTCTTTCCCTGTTATCTTAATAGTATTTAGACATAAGCTAGTGGAACACATTTTAAAATCTTTCATTACAGCAAAAGAGGTGTATACCCATTAATTAAGCAGAAATTTTATGTAGCCTGTTTCTCCTCTATTTATCTAGAAATGGCAAAATGCTGACTTGAATGGGAAGTTCAAGCTTCCAATGAAGAATGAGTTCATTCCTACTAACTTTGAGATTTTGCCATTGGAAAAAGATGCAACACAGTACCCTGCCCTTGTGAAGGTAAGCTATCTCTATTTGTTTGGTCTGCTAGCTAACCTTCTGGGAAGTTAGCAGTTAATGTATATGTGTTTTTAAAATACAGATCATGTCATATTCCAAAGTATAATAAACAGAAAAGTACACAACTTAATGATATTGCTAGAAAGTAGAAAGTTCATTCTTGATAAACTTTGGATTATGACTCTTTGGATTCCTATGAAACTGAATCAGTAAACAGCTTGAACTCTTTTTGCCCTTTTGAAAGTGTTTTAACAATTGGCTTATTCAGCAGAAGGATCAGTACCACTTTTTTTGTGTGTGTTTTTGGAGCAGTGTTCAGTAAGTTGAGAGTGTAGACAAGGCTATTCTCTGTATCTGTATATGGAAAAAGCTTGTAATTGCATGGAAAAAGGCAGAGAGAGATGTAAACTGGTAAATAAACATCGCTCTCCAGTCTCCTGGAAACATCATTTCATTATCTCAATATGTTTAGCAAACCTCAGTTTTTCTGAGTACCTAAAATTTACTAAAATTACTTGTTGCTACTAAAGCATAATTGTCTTTGCTAATGCTCATCTCTGTTTTAGGCTTAGTTGGGGGATAAATAGGAAAAGTCTTCTGCAGTTCGATGTGTGGTTCAACTTGAATACTCAACAAGGAATATTTTTTGCACAATAGATGAGTATGTATACTTTAGTGCAAAGATATCCTTCAGGAAGAATATTTGTTCTGCACAGGACATTTGACTTTGAGCATATGTTTATGTTCATCCTGAACTGAAACTTTAAGCCTCAGAAGGGAGACACACTACAGATCTGTTCAGTAACACTAGTTGGTCTGCTACAGAAATTTGATGGTCCTTCAGTGTCTCAGTAGCAACTAGGCAATTGATCCACAAAAAAGATTTGCTTTAAGGCATGATTGCTTTAGAAATGTATTTGGGTTTGGTTTTTCCTTTCCTTTCAAAATATGTTTTCTGAGGTAAAATGTTTTTAATCTTCTGTACTTGCTGAGACAGAATTTATCTATTTTGCTTGAATCCCTTATTTTCTGCACAGTTGTATATCAGTGCCATTTTCTTTTGTGAGCCCTGGTATTTGTCTGATCCCACAGCAAAACATTGCAAGGACTAAATCAGCAGAGATTAGCTGTCCAAAAAAAACAGCACAACTTTTCTGCTGTTTTATATGGCTGGTGAGCTCACTATGGGCTGGACCAGTGTTATGAAGAAAGGGAGAGCTGGAAGCATCAGTGGAGGAACAGGATGGCCATTCTCTCTGGGAGCATGTCACCAGGTCATCCTAGTTGTAATGGCACAACCCTCAGGAGGGAGGGCAGTTAGGATATGGGGTTGGGCTGTGGTTAGTGATCTCCATCTCTTGGATTAGGTCTCAGTATGATGGGACAGGCTGTACTGTTTCTTTCCCTGTCCCTGATGTAAGAGGTATTCTAAACGGTGTCGTGAGAAGCTGTGGGTTTTTTTAATGAATAATTTTTTTTTTGTATTAATATTGTTAACCAACTTTACTTGAAAACAAAATGTAATGCATTCATATTTTTACTAAAAGCATTAGATACACAATTATAGTTCCATGCTTTTGACTAAGAATATATGCTGCTGTGGTGCTGCGTAACGGCACATCTTTTAATGCCAGCCCTGGAGGGGAATTTTGTGAAGCTAACTCAGTATTTGTCTTTGATCACTCCTGCTCTAGAGGAGTAGTTCCCGTTTTGATCATAAGCTCATTCACAATGCTGCAGCCATTTAACTGCTTGTTAAGGTGACATATGGCAAGAAGAGACTCTCCATAAGGATATTGAATGTATACACAAATGTACATAGTGAGAGTATGGATTTAAGGGGAAACTCTAATCATAGAATCATTAAGGTTGGAAAAAGACCTCCAAGATCACCAAATCCAACCATCAACCCACCGCTACCATGACCACTAAAACATGTCCTGAATTACCACATCCCCATTTTTTTTTTTTTTTTTTTTTTTTAAACACTTCCATGGATGGTGGCTCCAGCACCTGCCTAGGCAGTCTGTTCTAGTGCTTCACTACTCTTCCAGTAAAGAAATTCTTCCCAAAACAAATCTAAACCTCCCCTGGCATAACTTAACCCCATTTCCTCTCCTCCTACCACTGGTTACTTGGGAGAAGAGACCAACACCCACCTTACTACAGCCTCCTTTCAGGTAGTTGTGGAGTGGTATTTGGAAGTTGTAAATTGAGATTTGAAATTATGAAGAGACTTTTTTTAAAAAATAATGTAATGTATTACAGTTAAAAGTTAGGTGACTTAACCTCTTTTCTTGACACAGGATACCGCTATGAGCAAACTGTGGTTCAAGCAAGATGACAAATTTTTTTTGCCAAAAGCTTGTCTCAACTTTGAATTTTTCAGGTATGCAATGTTAAGTATATCACATAAGTTGTTCTCCAAAAGTGTGTTGTATACTGGGGATCTGCATTTCTGTAGGAAGAACTTTCTTGCATGTGTGGAGGCTTTAAAATGTCTGTCCTTGCTCGGAAGTATGTGATAAGACACAAATAGTGGGAAGGCTCATGTAAGTTATGCAGTACTTGAGCAGCAAGCAGTTTGAGGTCCTCCATCTATATTCAAAGGAGAAATTGATCTAAAATATTTAAAACAAATTTTATTCTATTTTTGTTTGCTATACCTGAAATGTGCCTACCAATAGGACCTACTATATATTGTAATATACATCTTTAAAAATGGGTGTTTATTATTTTTAATTAATGACTAAACCAGAACTATTTTCAAAGAGTTTTCTATGTGAAGTGCTATTCTGATAATGGTTTCAGGTTCAATTTGTATTAATTTGCTTGTGTAATATTCTGTGTGCTTAAAATTGAGATTTTAGTTAACCGATAATAACGACTGATTTTTTTGTTTTGGAAGAACAGTGTAGTGTATCAATGAATCATCACTGTATCAATGAGTATTAGATTCCAACCTCAGGATGCATTTGAAGTGCTGTATGTTAATTCTGGTCTTGCATTATTTTCATCCCAGGAGAATTATTGGTTTGTTTTTTTTTTTAAGTGAGCATGGTGATGTATCTTCTTAGTGTTCCTTTCAAGTAATAATTTCTAATTTCTGAATAAAAATAACAAAACCAAAAAAAATCCCTATTGATGACTTTAAAGTGTAGCTGTTTCTGTGCTGAGCTACTAAAAAGGGAAGATAATTTCAGGAACCCTCCTCCTTTGGCCTCATTAAATTAGCAGTGATACTGCTGGAAAAGCTATTACATGGGCTCTGATAGGTGCTCATAGATGCACTGTGGAGTCCTTGTTTTGACTCGCCACTTGAATTTTTTCTTGGCAGAATTGTAGAGAGAGAATTTTTCAGAGTTTGTCAGATCTTAGTACTTGTGTTGGTACTACTTTTGGAAAATAGGTTCTCTGGGCATTTCCTGTTTCTTACTGTATTTTGAAACCACAGAGCAAACATAGCAACTGTTTCAATTTTGTGTCTCTTATTCAGAGAACAACAATTGCCGTATTTGTTTATACCTCGTGACCTGCCCTTGCACTGTTTGGCCAAAATCCAAAATAGGATTTTATGGATGGACACTGAATTTGTTACACAACTGTTTTTTTTTTTTTTTATATTTCTTAATCAATTCCAAATGAACTATGAGTGATCCAATCTCTATACCAGTGTATGAACTATTAAAAGATAATAAATGATTTTATGTAGAGCACACAAAGTTATATGTAAATGCACATATGCGCAATATCATAGAATCATAGAGTGGTTTGGGTTGGAAGGGACCTTCAAAGGTCAGCTCTTGCAGCTCTTCTGCAATGAGGAGGGACGTTTTCAGCTCCGGTGCTCATCTTTCCCAGTTAGGTTTGTGCTTTCTTTTCAGTGAGCCCTTCAAAAATGCCAGATTTGCTTGAGCTCTCCTGGCTAAATTAATGGAATTATATGTTCCTTTCCTCCTAGGAGTGGTTAGAGGTGAAAAGTTGTCTTTTTTTTCTTAACATTGAGGATGAGGGTTCTTTCCTTTTCGTTACAAATAATATGGTAATTTTATATGAATGGATATGAGGATATTTTCACAGTAATGGATAATCATCTCCAGAAGAAGTTTTAATAAGCAGGTTTGTCTCGTTTTGCTATTTAAGGAAGATTCTACATCGCTCTCTTGAGCCTGGTGGTACTGACAGTCACTGGAGAAAATGGTGAAATGTCTTGTGTCTATATGTGAGACTTGATGACATTACCCATAGGTCTTGGCCCAGTGAATTGGTTAATAAAGCCATCTTAATAACATGGGCTTTCATAAAAAGTTGTAACCTCAGTTCTAGATCAGAACATGATGGTTATGCTGCCATATAGAAGATTACAAGAATTTCTTCACACTACAGACTTCTTCAGTAAGATAGGAAAAACGGGGAGGATTTTTTCTACCTGGAGCCCTGATCATCATGAATCATTGGAAGAATTCCTGACCCAGATGTTACAGCAGTAACTGCTCCGTAGATTAATTAAGAGGAAGTTGATGAGAGTGATTTGTCCATCAAACATACAAAACCAGTAGGAACAATCTGAGTATATGAACTTCTTGAAGTCGCCTTGTTCCAAAACGGAAAACCCTTATGTGGCACAACTCTTGCATTCAAGAAACACCCCAGTAAAACCCTCTGGCCATGGGACTTTCTGTCATTCTTTAGGCTGAATGATAAGCTTTTGCTTTTGTATGAATTATGGTTTAAGAACTTGACAAGTGTCCTTTTAAAAAAGGAAGCAAAATAACAATGTAATGTGCTGCTGTTTTTGAAAACTTTCTGAAGTTAGTCATAAACTGCACTTCCAAATTCCTCAAGGTTGAGAGAGATGGATGTTAAAAATATAATGCTAATTACTTTCAACTACACACTTGGTGCTTTCAAGCAACTTGAGTTGTTCATAAGGTAACCTAGGATCAACACTTCACTGTTGATTCCAGTTGTGTCTTTTACAGCTTTTTTTTTTTGAAAGAGGAAAAGGCTGGACTTTAAGATTTTTCAATTATACTATCAGATATTGAGTTGTTCTGCTTCTTCAAGTCTAGTCAAAAAAAGGTAACCTAGAAGTTAGCATTTATTTACTAAGTTGTCAGTAATAGAAAACAACCCGCAGAACTGTGTTGTAATAATGGTTTGCTGTTATTTTTCTCTTGAGGATTAATGATTTAAGTCTGCTAAGTCTTCATCATTTTCAAAATTCCCTGGTGTTTTTTTGCCAGATAAATGAGTATACAGAAGTTATAAGTGATATGGACGTAGTAATTGCTCAGACTGGTGAAGTCTCTATTCTAGTATCAAAATGAAAAAGAATATAATGAGTTTGGAAGAAGATTTATGATAATATAAGATTGATCTACATCTTGCTTTGAATTCAGTCTTATTTAAAAATTTAATATTAATTGGTTTTGCATCACTGGGCATATTGAAATTGCTCAGTTTTGGAAATTCTCATTGTAGGGAGATATGCAGATATCAGAGGTGTGTGGGTGTTTTTTAAAAAACAACAAAAACACACAAAAAAAAACCCAAACAAACAAACAAACACACAAAAAAAAAAACAAAACCAAAGCAAAACAAAACAAAAACCACATCAAACCTGACCTGTTTGGTTAAGTTACACAAGTCCAAAATAATTAATCCAGTGACAGTAAAAAAGCATATCCTAGGCTAAGATTGCAAGCTATAGCAGGCTGTGCTTCTCTAAGAGATTTTTGTTAATTTATTTATTTTTAAAATCTTTTCCCATGCTTCCTTTCCTACATCTAAAAGAAAAAAAAATACTAAAAATTACTAGGAAAGGTATTTAAAAATATCTTTGCAGTCTGTTTTCAAGTTAGCAACATGCGTGTTGTGGCAATGTGGTGGTCTTTTCTTTAACATTAGAGTTGGTATACACTATGAAATACAGTGCTATATAGGCATAAACATATAGTACCACGTCTCTGAATATGACCATTAGTGACTGACTGGGGCTAATAAATGCAGATAGCATGAGCTTGACTTGTAAACCATATCCTCACAGTAAATTGTTTTAAATGCTACTGATTGTTTCTGTGAAATTGATAATTAATTTACATAAACTTCAATAGTTTTAGAAGTGAATACTCAATCATATTACAAATAACTTGAGTTTGCATATCTTTAAAACATAGATATTTAACAGTTGGCGTGAAACATGGCTTGAGTCTTTGAGTTGCATTTCTCTTTTTGAGAAATTTGCAATAGTCTTATATGTGATCAGATGCTTCTAATACAAGAGTAGAGCTTGTATAGCTGTTGCCATTAAAAAGATAATAGAAAAAATCATGGTGGTATGAAAACGGATATGCCAAACTTCTTTCCTGAGCTGAACTTGGCAAGTACTGCATATTTTTTGTGCCAGAAATTACTAATATCTTCATTTTTGCAATGGAAACTGTTGTTTCCTGATAGTGTAGAAGTATTAATTAAATTAACGTTCAGCACATGAGCTTTCATTACAGTCTGTTAAATTATCTCTTGGTTATTCAGAGCATATTTAGCTTATTTTACTCCTGATGAATTCTCACTGTTCAGCAAAGTAAATGTAACATGTCTTGATTTGTGAGCACAAATAAGAGAATATCTCTGGAGTATTCAGTATATTTAGGCATTGCTCAAATCATAAGCAAGCTAAATATTTATTTTCATGTATGTTCATACTTAGCTTTGACACAGCAATCCTTCACAGCAGGATCCATCAGCATACTCGCAGTAAATATTGTTTCCTTCAGATCAAACTTAAAAGGCCAAAAGAAACAGAAAATTAATTTTAAACCACATATTTTGCTTTCAACATTTTCTTCCAGCCCATTTGCTTACGTGGATCCCTTGCATTGTAACATGGCCTATTTGTACCTTGAACTACTCAAAGACTCCCTCAACGAGTATGCATATGCAGCAGAACTAGCTGGCTTGAACTATGATCTCCAAAATACCGTCTATGGGATGTATGTAAGTACCCAAATCAAGGAAAAGCTTAGAGCCTTAAAACTACTTCCACTCATCAACATTTTTTATATTGATTTGATGGAAGGACTTTTATTTTTAAAAATGGGTCTAAGGCTGCTCCTCCTTTTGATCTTGGTTAACCATCCTTTCTTTAATTTGAATTTTAAGTTGAATTTTGTTCAAAGTCTTCAACAATCTTTCCATTCATGTTAAACAAATTTTCTTCTTTATTTTTATATTCATTCACGAAATTTTGTAAGATTTGTTCCTCCATTTAAAAAAAGAAAGAAGCAACCCTAATCCAAGGTTACATATTTATTTCAGTTTGTCAGATATCAGCTAAAAAACTTTCTGACTGATGGGGATAGAAGACCCCCTTTTCATGCTATTAAATAAATGGTATACTTCAGCTTTCCTATTCAAGAACTACTGATCATGAGGCTGCATATACATACTCTTCAGTCATGTTTCTTCATCCATTACTTTGTCACTGCCTGAGGTATCAAAGCATTTCTTTTGTTTTTCTTTTTGTTAGTCGCTACATTTATGCTGATCCTCTCCATTGCAACATGACATACCTGTTTATCAGGTTATTGAAGGATGATTTAAAAGAGTATACATATGCAGCACGCCTCTCAGGTTTGGTCTATGGCATTGCATCAGGAATGAATGCAATACTTGTAAGTAAGAAAAAACCAGGAGGAAATAAAACAGCTTGGGAGTTGTTGAGCTTGGAGAAAACATTTGACTTCTGCATTTCTAAATGAGATGGTTAATGTTTTTTTCCTTGCATATATCTCATTAATTGAAAGGCAAAGCACAACTGTATTTTAATCAGTACTGAGTAACCTGTTTAAGATTGCAGTGTCTTGTGAACATGTGCAGTGCTGTTGTTGCATTCTAGTTTACTTTTTTACTTGCTTGCATGGTAATCTTGAAGTACTATTGCTGGTTTCTATAAAAAAAAATAACTTTTCTGTTGAATGAAGCTCAACTTTATAAATTTTGTTATAATTCTCTAAATCTGCTGTAGTGAGCTGTGGAAACAGATTGTGCATGTGTTCCTTAGAATGCAATGCTGGATATGTCTGGCTTTTCCTTAGTGTTTGTACGTGTTTTGTAATCTGTTTTAAAGTGCTGTCAATACTTACTTGATGTTATGATAAATGGTTATTTCTTACTCAGCTTCTATGAGATTTATGATGGATTTTAATAGTCTCTCCTAAAGTCCTGTTAAAAGCTTTTATTAACCATCATTTTATACTGAAGTGTGTTTTGAAATTTCCTGTGGAAGTATTATTTTTCCAAAGCATCTCAGTAAGAGAATATAGTGTATATTGTCTTTGTTTTCTGTATGAAAGACAGTGCTGCAATTTTTCTTTAGTTTTTCATTGAAAAAAAAAAAAAATTCCTGTTAACATTAATTTCTCAGTTTCAAAGTTTGCTGATGTTTCTGTGGTCAGACAATTCCCTTAAAAAAAAAAAAAAAAACAAAAAAAAAAACAAAAAAAAACCCCACAAGGCAGGGGGTATGCATGCGTGTAATTTTCTTCATTTTTTTTAGTCACATTGTAAAAGTTTAGAGTTGTTTTAAATATTCACTGATTTTTTTTTTTTGTAGGGTCTTTTATACACTTTGACTGTAAAGATTCTATTTTCACATATAAAACTCAGTTTTCTCGATTCTGATATCTGGGAACTTCTAATACTCTTTTCTATATCATGGGAAGTTTAATAGTCAATAGGTGTAACTGTAAAGTGTTGACACTTTGAGGACAGTTGCTACACTGAAAACAGTCACCCATGGTGATCAACAGTTTTTGCCATAAATCTTATATTTTTAGGATAGCTTTTTCTTCAAATTAATGGTTCAGGTATATTTCAGCTGTACATCAGTTTGTGTCCTAAAATTTAGTTTTACCCTTAATTGTTAAATTGCAAAAATGAAATTCCTATATCAATATAGCATGCTTGTAAGTTTTTGTTCCCCCAGAAGACCTTCTAATGCCTTTTTTCACTAGACAAATTTTCTGTAGCTTGATGCAATTATATAGCAATTTTTAAGTTTTAATGTTGTTTTTTTAAATGACCAAGTTTATTTCATGTGTACTTTCAATATCTGATGTGATCAGATCAATATCTTATTACAACTGTAGACTAACTACCTTGGTGTTTCAGCTCAGCACCATCCTGCCTATAAATTTTGCTGCTGTTGACAGTATCTCTTTTCTTGTAGTACTGCTTATTTCCACTTATGTAAAATTTGTTTTTTGAGCAACAAGATAAACATGAAACAAGGTAAAAAGTAAATTGAAGAGAATATTTAAGAAGGCTGTGAATCTATTTTTCATTACTAAAATGAGAAACCTACAGGAAAACCATTTCAGTGCTCCAAATATACAGTTTACTGACTGGGCTCAATACTTGTGCTAATTTAAAAATCTGTATTGTGAGTGCAATTTTCTTACATTATCATGAAATTACATTAATTGTCTGCCTTTTTATGCTATATTTGTCAGCTATCTTTAGATGATGGGTAAAAAGATTTTACTTGAGAATGAGTTAATGTTGAGTAACGTTGAATTGAAAGTAACTTTTGAAAAGTGTATTGTTCATCAAATTATACAAGACTTAGTAATTGTTTTATTAGTTTGTCTTCCACATTTAAAGCAAATTATGCGCTTTTTCCATAGCTTTCTGTAAAAGGTTATAATGACAAGCAACATATCTTGCTCAAGAAGATCATTGAGAAAATGGCTACTTTTGAGATTGATGAAAAAAGATTTGAAATTATCAAGGAAGCGGTAAGCTACATCAGAAATCTACGTTTTTGGAATAATTTAAAATTGAATGTATTGACTTGAAATGAGATCTGAAGGCTGCTTATCCATGGAAGTACAGAGTGAAAGTCTGTCTCACTGGGACTCCAGAAGCTTTTTTTCTTTTGTCTGTCTTTTTGTGGCTGTGAGTTCCCTCGAGTTTTTATGTTGCATTCTTCAGTTAAAAATAGCTGGCCCTGGAACCTTCATTCAGTTGGTCTGTCTTAGAAATGATCAAGTGATTGCAACTTGCTTTGATAGGAGTAGCAATCTAAGAAAGGGGAGACAGGAGGAAATCTTATCTTTATATCCCATTTTACCTTTTGGAAAGGCCATAGTAGCATCTAGCTATAAAAGAAGTGCAAAATGAATGAAGGCAGAAGGCAAAAAAGATTTGTAACATTTAATCCCCCCCAGAAGTGAAGAAGAGGAGCACTGCTCCTGGAGCAAGGTCCTTTGGTGCAAAAGTAACCAGCTGGTTAAGTACCTGCTGATTTCTGGAAGTCTCACTTCCTGAATTTAATGGCTGATCTATATAGATCAATTGTAAGTTCTATTTATTTATTTTTATCTCCTGAGGTAAATTTATGAACAGCGATTATATTTGCTAAGCCAAACAAGCTACAGAATTGTTCTTCTGAGTCTTTCTTTAGAGCAGGACAGGTAAAACAAAGGAAATTAACCAGTTAGGTATTGGCACACACAGCAATGAGTTGTCATGGAATTATAAATGAGTGCACAGGGTTGAGCCAGGTGTGGGGGAACAGGCTTACTTCTGCCCTAGAGAGTTTGCAGTAGATGGGAGAACTGGGGCTGTAGGGAAGGTCACACCATCCGTTTATAGTTTTACTTCAATCCTCTGCTGCTGGTAATTTTTGAAGAGGTGACTGGCCTAGACAGACACCAGGGCCATCTTTAATTCATTACTGTTCAGTAGGAAATTCTGAGCAGCTGAACATGAAATATGAGGTAGATTTATTATAACATCGCTTTATTTAGGGCTTTATGTAACTAAGATATAATAATTTGGAATGTTTTACCTGGATATGCCAAATGCCAAGGTAAAAAAATCCAGCCCACAGGTTTGTGAATGCTCTGTTTTGGATTATTTTCTTTTAGTTTAATATGTTTCCCTGACTGTTTTTACAGTTTGTTTGAACTTTGTCTCTGTATTATGAATGTTGTCATTTTATAGCCTTTTGCTACGTAGGCCTTTTATGTATGTGTAACAAGGACAAAATATAAAAAAGTCAAATCAGATGGCAAGATTGCAGTTTTTCAGACGTACACCTAATAGATAAGGGAAATACCGGCTTCTGCTTGAAACAGATAGAAAGGCACATCCTCAGCAACCTGATGCTCACCATTTTGCACTCATGTGCCCTGAAATGAGTTCCTTCTCTCCTGTACTGGAAATCATCCTAGCTTGCCAAGACTATTAGTTGGCACTTTCTGGTTCCTCTTGTAGAGAAAAAAGGATTTGCTTTTTTTGTAGAGGTGCAGCTGTACTAGAAAGGAGTTTCTTTAGAGAAACCCAGTGATTCTTCTCTCCTAGCTCCTTTATCCAGGCAAAGAATCTCCCAAATGCTCTTGTATTTTTCTAACCAAGTCATCCCAAGAAAGCAGCTAGAAAAAAAACATTTTTTGTTGGCAGTATTCTTCTATCCCATTCCCAAGCAGTCATCACAGAATGCATATTTCCTGGGTAGAGCAACTTGATCTAAAAGCTTATTTAGGTCTAACTGCAATAATTTAATTTCCAATCATTAATTTTATGGGAAGTTGGATTTCATCTTCATTTCAACTATGTTGATGGTTACTGCTTAATCCATAGGCTTGGAAGCCCACACTATTACTAGGGTAATTTAACACAATTTTTTTAACAGGCCTAACAAGCAAGAGAATGTTCTTCACTTTTAAAACGTGTCTTTCTGATGGTACGCAGAGTTTGAGAGTGCAAGGTTAATATTTTATGCATAGAAATAGAGTTGTATAATTTGAACTTGATTATTTTGTTTTAGTACATGAGATCACTTAACAACTTCAGGGCTGAACAGCCTCACCAGCACGCAATGTATTATCTCCGACTCCTGATGACAGAAGTTGCTTGGACCAAAGATGAATTAAAAGAAGCTCTAGATGGTAATGTTTTGCCCGTTTGGAACTTTATTATCTTTATATTTTCATATGAAAAATGTCTTATTCTTAAACTGATTTTGCCTGTTTTGAACACTGCCCTTTATTCAAGGGAGCCCTGCATACACATACCCTCAGTTGTCAAAGACCAACACATACCATACTGTTCAAAGCTGTGATGCTGAACACGGCTTCATTCACTACACAGGGGTGTGTGTTTTTCCTACAGGATGTCTCCAGGACAGGAATATAAATGTTTAGTTCTATAGTTTCTTGAATGGTTGCACGTATCTCTGAGATTCGCAGTGGTGAAGTGCCGCCTGCAAAGTCGACTGACAAAACTCATGCTGATTTTCACGGTGGTGGGTTCAGCTGCATGTAGATCATTCCTTCTTTAATATTAGACTGCTGAATTTTGAAAAAAATAAGAGTTTTTCTGTTCTGTGTGTATATTGTCTTTATAAGATGAATGCTACTGTATTCAGCCTAAAAATGGCTAGAAAGGAATGGTGTCTACTTAGCACTGCTGGAAATCTGCCTAGAATATGGAGAGTTTGTGGGATTTACTTTTTAAATTTTGTTTGTCCTCTTACCCTCTTTTACATCAATGTGATCATAATATTTTGCACTATTAATAAGCAGATCTTGAGCAAAAATTAAGATTAGGATTATACAGCAATAAAAAGTTGGTTTGGAGTCAGGTTAGAAAATCAGTTTTGAATCAATGTAGAAATTATTTTTTTTTTATTTGCAGTCAGTTACCCCTTCTAAGAGAGGAAAAGACCAATAAGCACAGTATAGGTTTTTCTGATACAAATAAAAAATCTGTTAGATATGTATGTATCCACCACTGAATTATCTGGGTGACCTCATAATCTTGATTGCATTTGTCTTTCCAAAAATCTTGTGAAATACACCAGTATTGTTAGTTTTTATTTTAGCTGAGAAAATGACAGAATGAGAGATTGATAGATTTGGTGATACAATGTGGGTATTCTTGCAGTGTCAGGAAAGTAAGAATGTAGATGTTGACTTTGGGATGAATTCACCATCCATTGAACCATGCTTCCTCTCTTATTCCATTGATTCTGTATATTAAACTGTGCTCTGCATTATATATGAAAACTGTTTTGCAGGGACAGGCTAACATAGAATGTGTGTATGTGTGTGTACTCTGAGATACATTGCAAAACATTTTTCTTGTGTATTATTTATTACAAAGATACTATCAAAACACCATATTTGAGTTGAGGTTCTTTTTTCAGTCTGGATGGTAAATGCACAATGTGTTTCTTGAGCTCTATCAGCCACATGCTGCTTGGTTAGTTAATAACTAAAGCTTTATCTTGGAACACCACCTGAGTGATTGCAGCTGTTTTCTCTGGAGGGTGAACGTTTGTTCAGCATGATTGGAAAGAAGGCTTTAGTTTTCCTTTTCCTTTTGGAATCTGGGTCAGACAGTATGTGAATTCTAACCAAAACAAGCTATATGATGAGTGCTGTTATTTAGACCTGGAAACTTGCCAGTGTTGCATGTTTAAGGAGAGATTCATCTTTTTGTGATGATGAGATTCTTTTCCTCTGAGAAATGCAGTATATCTAATGATGAGTTAGGCACTCCTTAATGTAAAAATGTATATAATTGATTTAACTGTCTAAATATCTATTCCAGATGTCACTCTTCCCCGCCTCAAGGCTTTTATAGCTCAACTGTTGTCACGGTTACACATTGAAGCGCTTCTCCATGGCAATATAACAAAACAGGTTGGTGTGATACTTCTTTTTAGTAAAACAATTTTTATTTAAAAGCAGCATGACGAATTGAAGACTAGTTTCATCTTCTCAGATATTAAAGCAGTTTTACCAAATGTGATTTCATAATTTGATTTCATACTTTTTTATCTTTATGGGAGTATTGTAGTGTAATTTTTTTTCCACTTTAGATTTACTAGGGTAAGTGCTGCCCTTCTGTTGCTCTTGGAACTTCAATAAAAAGCAACTTATGATCTAAATATTTTAAAGTCTGTTGTGTGTCATTACTGTCATATGATCAAGCTGCTATAAGGAGCAATGTGCTGCAGATCCTGCTTTTCCATTTAAAAGTTTCAGGCTAACTAGCGAGGATGTAAGGATCTGAGAGCCTCCCAAATCAAGTACTTTGCGCAAGGCTACACAGGAATGGTGGGCCGTTAGAAATAAGTGTCAGCTCTCAGTTGGGAGTAAAAATCACGTGTTTGTTACATCTTTCATTAAAATAATTAACGGTTTGTATTTGCATAGGAAATCTACCCAAATATTTGAATACGTGTACCAGTACAAAAATATGGTAACTTTCTTGTATGTTTTTGCATTCCTTTGTTGTAGGGCTGGTATAACAGTATTTCTGTCATACCAGTCATGCGATACTTTACTAGCAAGAGATGTTACAAACACTGCTAGTCACTGCTGAATTTATGAAGGAGAATGTTAAATAGTAAGGAGCAGAACACTACAAAGATGCAGGTGCCACTAGCACTGGATGCACAAAGTTTTATTTTTCAAGGATGATCTCTAAACTTTTTTTGTTTAATTTTATGGAGTATTTTTCATTTGGAGAAATGTCAAAAATAGTGTCACTTTTTCCCCTCTATTTCTTACACATTTGTATATGAAATTCAATTTTTTTTGAAATATAGCTGAATGACCAGATTAAAATTAAAAATTCCATCTGCTGAGATGTCATTTGCTTTGCAAACGTATATTGTAGGTATCTTGTTTAGAATCTTTGAAATGTGAGTACATCAGAATGGTGATGGGAAGAGAAGATAAGCCCATTGAACTTTAATTTCAGAAGTATTGGAGAGAATAGTAGTAGTTAAACATGCAGACAAGATAAAAGTGGAAAAAAACCCAAACCCAATTGCAAACCCCTTGTCTACCAAGCCCCTACTTCCTATCATCTACTTAACTTCTACTATATTTTTCTTAAGTATACTTTCTGACCCTGATTTAATTTTTTTTTTTCCTTTTTCTTTTCTCTCATGTCACCATCAATAGTTGGAAAGTGTTATCCTGCTGTTAAGTACAGAATAACTAATGATTGTTAAAAATTCTCTTGGATTTCTCTTCCAGGCTGCATTAGGAATTATGCAGATGGTTGAGGACACACTCATTGAGCATGCCCATACAAAGCCACTCCTTCCCAGTCAGCTAGTGAGATACAGAGAAGTGCAACTTCCTGACAGTAAGTTAAATGATTTATTTACAGTTTTTTAATGCACATTAAATTGAGATTCTCCATTTGCTAATGGCATTTTAAAATTAATTTTACCCTATTGCTAGGAGTTTTTCTTGAAATCAGGTTATTTTAAACTTTAAACACATAATTGGGGTGTGGTTTGTTAATAAAGTCATACACTAATATATCATCTTTCTAGGGTACATGAAAACAAATCAGTTTTAATTTTCAATCTGTGTGTGTAAATTAGGCTTCTTAGGGGTTGGAACTAGATAATCTTTAAGGTCCCTTCCAACCCAAAACATTCTGTGATTCAGTCCTAATTCACTTGATAGGATTTATGGAAATAAGATCCCTGTCCCACTCTCTGCTACAAGTAGTATATACATTTGAATAAGCATCATTCTTTGAGCACTTAGGAGTGTTAATTGACCATTGAATGTCAAGGTGAATGAAGATGAAGGATTGTCCTAAATGACTCTTGCTTTTTGAGAAAACTAAAAGCTCTTACACATGTAACTTTGTATTATTTCTAATAGAAATTCTTTTGGTCTCACAGTGTTTATATAATTTTACTTGTGTTGTGCATAAAAATCTTATATATAAGAAAGGAGGTTGAAGGAATTGCTGGGAGCTACACAGGCATGATGATGTAGCTATACAGCCAAAGCCAATTACCTATAGCTGGTCTTCAGCCTGTGGAAACTACCGTATACCAAAGAAGCTATTGGTATTAAATGCTGAATTATCTTCTATGTTCCTAAATGTTTCTGACAAATGTCTTTTGAAACTATTTACCTAATAGAGGCAATGCAGAATTCCCTTCCAGTTCCATGGAGGAAGAAGCCAGTTTCTAGCTTCCAGTTTGAGAAGCAGCAGCCAGTTGCAATTTACTTGCTGATATGCTCAAGCTATGTCATTTTGATGTATTAAAATAATCTTTTCTTTACTTGTTTCATGAAAGGTATGCTGTTAGTGGAAATTTTGTTTTAACAGTTCTAAACCATTTATTATGATTCCATTGCACAAGTGATAGACCATTATCGTTTTAATTGTGGACAGTAAGAATGTGCATTTTCATGAACGGCAATGGTTTAACTTTGTCTTTTAGGAGGCTGGTTTGTCTATCAACAGAGAAACGAAGTTCATAACAATTGTGGCATTGAAATATATTACCAGACAGACATGCAGAGCACTTCTGAGAATATGTTTTTGGAACTCTTTTGTCAAATTATCTCAGAACCATGCTTCAATACTCTGCGCACCAAGGAACAATTAGGTAAGTTTTCCCATAGTGACTGTGTGTCTGTATACACACGTGCACACACACTCACACGCATAAGACATGATGAGATGTTCTTTCCCTGCTTAGTGAATGCTATTTGAAGGGCACTTGGTAAATGTAAATCATTTTAACTGCTGATGACTCAAATAAATGTTACTGTGCACAGACTCTAAATTGAGAAGAAGCAAGCACAGTGTTTAAGATAAGCCTGAAATATATGAAACCAGCTCTGGCTTAACAAAAAGTTTTACCACTGTACAGACAATTGCATATCTAATTTTTTTTACCAAAAGGAGATTAGATCAGTTTCCTAAGTTTTAGGTCTTCTTAAAGAATCGGTAGTAGTTTGATCTTCTCTGCTTGTGATCCTAATTCCAGATGCATTTGATGATTCATAAGCCCTATCTTAAGAATGTTGCTGTATGGGTAATGGTAAGATGCCATGTTGGTAGCTAAATCTATGTCAGGCTTTTTAAGAGTACAGCTGTTCACAAATAATTGTTACTTGAACCAGTAAGACTGAGAACTGGTAAGGTTATTCCAAACATGGTAACAAGGAGAGGCAGAGACTTGACATGACAGTTTACATGGTTGAAATACTGATGAGGAAGAGTACTGTTTTTCCAAAGGTGAGAGGCAGGTGAGTGTCTCAATGTGATGACTGTGAACTACCAGGTGACATTAGACTTTTGTGAGCATCTAACAGAATCAGATGTGCCATATTTATCACAGGGATTTTAATTATCTAGGTATCTGCTGAGAACAGGGAAGGACCCAGGTTATTTAGTAGGCTTTTGGAATGTGCTGGTGGCTAGTTTTGTATAGAAGCTGGAAGTAACAGCTAAGGAAGAGAGGGGGAATCGGTGTGAACGAACTGCATGTGTCCAGCACTGCACAGCTGGCATGATGACCTCTACATTACCTGGGGGGGGGAAAAAGTTTATTAAATACTGGAATTACAAGTCTTATAACTGAGAATTTGTGGATGATGGATGAGGCACTGGAAAAAATAATCAAGGGTAAATATTGTATATTTCCTTAGAAAGAAAAGAGAAGAGCAGGGAAACTACAGATCAGTCAGCTTAATGCTAATTCCTGGAAAATACAAAATAAGTTACCAAACTCCTTTTAAATTCATAGAAGGTAACCATTACTGGAGAAATTCAGAGCAAACTAACCTAACTTTCTGATATAACAGCAGTTTGGCAGCATGGGTGGAACTGGTGATGGTGTGTGTTTCTTCTTGGTAGTATGAAAGGAGCATAGATGGAAGTGCTACACATTTGAATGCCAGACTGTGTGGAAAGTCATGACTGAAGAATAGCTAAGAGTAGTTCATTTGAAAAATGGTGTTCTGCAGAGCTCTGTTGTGATCAAGTGCTGTTTAGTATTTTCATCAAAACTCTGGATGATAGAAGAGTGAATATACTTACTAAATATTCAGATAATACTAGGCTGTGAGAGGGCTGCAAGTGTGTGGGAAGATGGAATTAGAATTAGAATTCAGAGCTAGTTTGACATTTTAGAAACATGACTCAAATGAAGATAAGATGCAATTGAGTAAGAGAAGTTTGGCAAGAATAATCAATGGCACAGATCAAGCTAGGAAGCAGCTGGCTAGGTAGTGGTTCTGTAGAAAACAATCCACAGGTTATAGTGAATCAGAGGTAGAATGTAAAGCAGTGTCATGCTGCTGTGTAAAATGCTGGGGTATATAAATGGGAGCTTCTGAGATACACACCCAAATATTGTTCAAGTAAGGACTTTGAAATATCATGTCCAGTTCTGACAATGGTTTGAGAGTTATATAACAACATTTAAAAGATTGAAATGTGATAGATATGTTATTAAAAGAGGGGAAGGTGACTGAAGAAACGCTTACATGAACAATGGGATTGAGTGCACCCTCAGCAAGCTTGAGGGCAACACACCGAGCTGTGTGGTGTGGTTGACATGCTGGGGAGGAAGGATGCCATCCAGGGGGACATTGACAGGCTTGAGAGATGGGCCAGTGCAAACCTTGTGGTGTTCAGCGAGACCAAGTGCTGTACCTGGGCTGGAGCAATCCCAAGCACAAATACAGGCAGGGGGATGAAGGGATTGGGAGCAGCCCTGTGGAGAAGGACTTGGGGATGTTGGTGGATGAAAAAAACTGCATATGAGCCAGTATTTTGTGCTCGCAGCCCAGAAAGCCACTTGCATCCTGAGCTGCACTAAAGGAACTGCGGTGAGCAGGTTAAGGGAGGTGATTTTTCTCCCTCTGCTCTGCCCTCATGAGACCACACCTAGAGTATAGCGTTCAGCTCTGGGGCCCCCAGCACACAAAAGGCATGGACCTGTTGGAGCAGGTCCAGTGGAAGGCCGTGAAGAGGATCAGGGGCTGGAACACCTGCCCTGTGAGGACAGCCTGAGAGAGGCTGGGTTGTTCAGGGTGACCTTTTAGAGGCCTTCCAGTACTTAAAGGGGACCTAGAGGAAAGATGGATAGGGGGGTTAGAACTAGATGATTCCTTCCAACCCAAATCATTTGATGATAAGCAGAAGCTGTAACAGAAAGAAAGGAAAAAATATTTTCTTTGTATCTAAATGATAAGATGAGAAGCAGTGGCCTTACATTGCAGCAAAGAGAATTCAGATTAGAAGTTACAAAAAAAATATTAATTTCCTAATGTTGAATCTAATGAAGCACTAGAGTACAGCTTAATTTCTGTTTACTTAATCCTGATGGCAGAGTTCATTTTGTTCTTTCTTGGTCTGCCTCATCTCCTCCTCACCTCTTCCCAGAACTGGTATTTACCTCAGTGAAATAAAGATGTTTTAAAATACAACATGGTGGCATATAGTGAAAACCTGCAATATTTCATATATCATGTAGAATTAAACAGCATAAAATTGCATTCCTGTCAGACATGCTATGTTTGGCAAACTTAATGCTGGAACAAGAGATTCTTTTAATTTTTGTGACTATTCTTGTTTTGCAAAGGTTACATTGTGTTCAGTGGTCCTCGTCGGGCAAACGGCATCCAAGGGCTGCGATTTATCATCCAGTCTGAAAAGCCACCACACTATTTAGAAAGCAGAGTTGAAGCGTTCTTAAAAACTATGGAGAAATGCATAGAAGATATGACAGAAGAGGCCTTCCAAAAACACATCCAAGCTTTAGCAATTCGTCGTCTAGATAAACCAAAGAAGCTGTCTGCAGAATGTGCTAAATACTGGGGAGAAATCATTTCCCAGCAGTATAACTTTGACAGAGGTAAGACAAATTACAAGTCTTTTAAAACTGAATGCTGTAGCTGGGCTACACTAGTGACTATTGAGTAGGAGACATTAGTAATGGCAGATAAACGTGTTCTGTGATATTCACCATATGATGGGAATTGGCAAATGCTTTATTGATCTCCCATTGTTTTTCCTGAAGGGAAAGTGAGACAGATTGGGTCAAGGATTGGAAATGGTTTAAATGCAGATGGTGATGTCACAGACTCAGATTTTTTTTTTTCTGTGATGTTCAGGCATGTGTATTAGCATGTGCCTGATACTTGCGTGAGATGCAGTCAGACACACCTTGACATTCCAGATGGTGCACATATCATATGAACCTGTTCCTCTTCCTGTTGTGCAGTTCTTTTGATGGGGCAATGGCAGAGACAAAAGCAAGTATCTTAACTTATGTGTGACCTGTCTCAGCTTAAAGTAGGCTTGAAGAAACATTACTTTTTTTTTTTTATATATATAATACATTGAAGATTACAAGCTTGAAGACCAAATGAGATCCAGGTTCTAGTATTACTGCTGAAAGTGGACTTAGAGTTGTTTACATTGTGATTCTACATAGTATTTAAGTTGTATTTTTCCCTTTTTCATCACTGTTGGAAGATTTTTTAATCCAAAATACTGAGGTATATTAGTAATATAGTTTCTAACATTACAAACAAAAAATTCAGTTTTAGCTACAGATTTCATCACATTTTCATGTCTCGATCCTTACAGCTGCAGTTTCCAAATCTTCCATGCATAATATGCTTCCCACATAAAACTCATTCTGTATACTGTGACTTCTGTTATGCTTTATTGCAAGCATAGTATTGGCCTTACACAGTAGCAAATACAGTATTTTTGGTCAACAGTGACTAACTGAACTATTTTAATAATGAAGAATTTGAATTGTCATTTAGCTTGGTCTCAAGTGAATGACAGCTACTGACAAGGTTTCATGATTGAGTATAAGTAGTGATGTGGAAACTTATCCCTCCAAGTAGTTGTTTTTTTTTTTTTTTTTGTCTGACAAAACAGTTTAATTTTTCTCTGCCTTAAGTGTTTCTGTTTTTAACATAGTTGGACCTATTATCTCTCTGGAATTTCTTACTGCTAGCTGTAGCCATATCTTTTATATCTAAATCCCACTCGTTATTTCCCTTGATATTATATTTCTAATTCCCGTCTACCCACTAGTAATTTTATTTCATTAATGGTTTTAATATGACTAGAATTGTCAAAATAGAAAATCACCTTAAGAGTGATATTTATAGAGAAGGACTTATATTTTTATTATTGCTGCTTTTACTGTTTTACTTGATTTAAAAATGTTCTAATTTGTAATCTAATTTTCCAAACTGTGTTGTGTTGATGGGTTTTTTAGTTCTTCCTTGTAGAACTTCATGTGCATTACTTGCAGCTTACTTCACAGACTTGTTAGTTGTGTATTTGTTCTCTCACATGCATTTCTTGATCTTCCAGCT